TTTTTAGTCATAGTAATTTCATTTATTTTAATTTTTGTGAATGGCAACACGAAACTTGTTTGTTTACAGGCGAAATGGCATCATTGAAACGAAGTCTCCGAGAACAATTTAGAGGCTATTCGAAAAAGAATTTAATAAACATCCTCCAAAGGAACAATCAATTAAAACATGATTCAAACGGTTGTTGTTCATGAACGGTTGAAATTGACTGCTTATAAATTGCAGAATGTTAACAAATCAAAATGTGTCATTCGTAAGGAATTTTCTGTAGACATTCCTTACCGTATCAACAATGATGATCAGTTTTTTCAGAAAATCGTACCCTGTCATTGGGATACAGGTTTACGTGGTTTCCTTGATGAAACATTCCCAACCCGTTGGATTATTAGAGAGTGACCAATTTTATGGCTACGCCGTTCTCTTGACGTCACACCAGTCGATTTCTTTTTCTGAAGATACTTGAATAAAAAAGTTTTATGTTGCAGAGATTCGCATTATCAAAGAATTAAAAAATAGAATCACCACAGAAACAGCTACTGTCCCCCCCCAAACACTTAATAATCTGTTTAGGAAAATCGAGAACAGACTTGATATTCTACGAGTAACTAACGGTGCTTATTTTTAAGTCCATTAATATAAAATTCTTTTAAGTGCTGAATAAAATTCAGTCAGTTTTTCCCTATCTATTATTCCCTGTTATTCAAAACATATCTTCAGCCGGTAAGTAAATTATGGACACCCTATATTTTTCATTCACTACACATAAATTTATACTTATTTCTATAAATAAGATGTAATAATGGTGATGATTTATTTATAAATAAATAAAGGCTAACAGTCAGTAAATCTTCTTTACATTTTTAAAGTTCTTTAGATCCCGAGTTACCAGCATTATTATACTCTATGCAAATACATGTAAATACTTGGCAGCCGTAAAGATGTGAGAGTATGTTGATGACATTTTGAAAAAGAACTAACTATTTTCAGCTACTTAATCGATGACACGACATCTTCTTCATCGTATCGAATTATAGTTTTATTCTTAGAGAAATGCATTCGCTCATCAGGTAAAAGAAAAATTCTTCGCCTAGGTAAAGAGGTTTTATGGGGAAATTTTAGTATTATAAAACACCTTAAAGCGGTGGAGAGAAAGTATCGGAAATCAATTCTTCAATTCAGTGATTCGAGAAGATGCTTTGAGAGAGGGAAAAGAGGAGGGATAAAGGGTCACAATCGCCCTCCAGAGATTTTAAGACTCAAAGCTTCCTTCATGGCTGCGAGGGAAAGAAGCTTTGTCTGTGAGAATTATCCAAAAGGCTTCATGCTGGCTGCTGAAGATTCATCCAGCAAAGCAATTTATGTGATGAGGAATGGGAAGCTCTGGAATTAACTCGCTACATTTGAAAATTCTTTATCGAGTTATTGACCATTTCCAAGTACAGGAAAGTACTGTTACCGCGATGACGATATGTTTATGGGTTTTATTCTGAAAGCCGTAAGCAAAATGTCATTTTGATAGGAGAAGCTTGGGAAAGTTTTATTATAACGTCCTATTTCTTCCTTTTTCCTGAGAAAAAAATAACGTAATAAAAGAATCTTTTAAATTAGAGGTGTTTTTTTTTTTTTTGTTTGTTTGTTTGTTTGTTTTCGGAATACGAATTTTCAAATAGTTCTTAGTATTTTTAAGACGTTCTTCCATTTGCAAGGATAGGAAATGAATTTATTCTTAAAGCACTAGCCATCCGTAATTAGTTAATCTAACTTATGCGAATCGAATGTAACATAATAACATAAGGGAATCGAATATGTGATTTATCGTGTTTAAATCGCATCGTAAATATTTAAAATAACGTTAATCAAAATCATATGACCATATACCGGACTAGAAACTAAGTACTTCATGCCGAACTAGAGATCATATAGGCTGCTAGCTATTAAAATAGCTAGACCAGGAAATAAAGCAAATAGCTGAAATTTTTTATCGCACATATACAGAATTATGGCAGGAAAACATGATTGCATTTTTAGCTATTTTGGGGCACACAGCATGAAGTCACCGCTCTGAATTCTACAGAACCTGTTCGCACATTTTTAAACGATGTATATTGTACTCAAAAAACTAAATTACATAACCTTCTTGTGTTTTAAATGTTCTATTTGACATCCCTTATTCTGAACTATTTTCGATAAATGACTGTTTGAAGTGAAGAAGAGGTATTCTATCCATTCCTCCAGACAGTTTCCAGAGTCCGTTAGGGTTTGGGAAACGTTGGGATAAGTTTTTAAGTGAAAGCACAAAATTCCATGGGTACATCGGGAGATTATTAGGGATATCATTGAAGGATATGGCCTTGATACCAGTTTTTTTGTTCCATTTCTTTGGAAAATTCCCGGGATTTTTGGGTTAGTGGTCCTGATGGAGTCTCACCGATGGATGGCACTGGCGTAAAGCGATGGTATTCATTCACAAATTGGCATAAAATTTCCGATAGTCTTTGGAGTTAATCTGGAGATTTTTGCACTTCTTTTTTTAATTGCCATTATAAGAAAAACCAGCAACAATGATGAATCCCTTAGAAAACTTTCGATCTTTGAACATGTACTAAATTTTTTCTCCCCTTTTATGATAATAAATGGCTCGTTTTGTTACAATCATTTAAACACCCATGCTTCATTTGACAATTGTTTCCCTTTTTTTGGATAAGTGTTTCATATAGAATTCTGCAGCTGTCTGCGTTGAGCGATATGCTTGGAAGAAGACGATGCCATGTCTTTTTCGTTTCTTAAGATTTAAATCAACGTTTATCGTTTTGTTTACATGGACACCGAGCATTTTGATTGCAACTGTCCGACTAGGGGATTTTCTTTAACATTAAAAGCGTCCTTGCCTAGTCGAGATGTCCGTTTTTCCTGGCTACTGTTTGAACTTTGTCCCACTGAGGTCCAATTTGACGTTCGTTTTTTTTTTTTTTTTTTTTTTTTTTTTTTTCTTTTTTTTTTTGTTGTGATATGACCTATCGCGCTTTAGATACCAAAATCCTGACCTTCACGTTTTTGGAGGAGTATGCCTATTTCTCTTCGGAAAGAGCGGAAATGTAGCCTTAACCACGCTTTTGTTAAATTTGCCATTTTGTAAAAACAACCTTTCAAGCACAGACGATTTTTGATTTGAACATAGTACAATTGCAATTACGTCTTTTGCAGCAAACGAATTTTTATTACCGCTTACCAAAATCGTCTAAAAAATGTGCGAACAGCCTGTACAGCATGTAGAATTCAGTCACCGCTAACAGCTACCCTGAATCTAACTTAACTGCATCGTGTACTTCCGCTAGTTTTAAATAAATAAGAGAGTCTAATGCTTGCTCAAGCTACGTTAAACACTCAATTTAAATGATTTCATCGAAAAAAACATTTCATTTGATTTAGCGTGTATTAGAAGTTATTAACATCACAGTCGATGTTAGCCATTTTTCATTAAATGGCATTCATCTTCATCCATTGAAATTATTTTCCTTTTATCAGGTCATCAGCCTCGAGGGATGGACAGACATCATGTATTATGTTCAAGATGCGCATTCCTTCTGGGACTTCACTTATTTCGTTCTCTTAATCGTCGTAAGTATACTCCTCGTAAATTGTACTTATACATACACTTATACATACTTTAGAAACTTATACATACTTTAGTACTTATACATACTTTAGAAACATAAAGTAACGAAATTCTCTTTGTTTTCTACAATGATACAGAAATATTTGGTAAACATCAAGAATGATTTTAGTATACCTCCCTACCATAATCTGTGAAAAATAATTGTAAAATTAAAAAACATCTTCTTGGATTATTTTCCAAAAATGCATTTTTTTGAAGCTGACAGATTTGCTCGTAGCTGGACATTTTGCAAAACGGATTAGTTACGTTCGCCTTCGTTGAAATTTTTACATTCCAGTTATAAAGGTATTTCTGTGTATATTGATCCACTGTTACACCGAGAAGATCTATTGGCTACTTTTCCCGATGAAGTATATTTTAAATCTTAACGGATTAATTAACAGGTTTCCTGATTTCTGGCAGATATTTCCCAGCAGTCACATTCAAAATCGCATCAGATTGTTATTCTTCGATTTCTCTGCCCATGTGAATTCTGCCAAATAAGCTTGCAAGTAACTTCCATCGAATCAATTGCCAAATTCTTTATTCTAACATTGAGAAAGCCATATATTACAGTGTACTAAAATGTGTACATATTATAAAATATTCAATAGATATCTTACTTGTCTATTCCATAGTGCTCATGTTTATTTTAGAACAATACTTTCTGCTTGTTTCGAAAGCTCTAGAATATTTACGTAGACGAAGATGATGGTTTCTGTGTTAACATGCGAGGCAAGTTAATATTGTTGTAGTTGAAATTCATATATTTAGTTTAGTAGAGGATGTTGGTACTTTAGACATTAAACTAGATTTCTAATTTTCATACGTTGCAAACATTAAGATAGTCTGCCCACTTTCGAGGCATTCTTTGCCTGTATTATTTGTAAATGGATACTATTCTTGTAGAGTAATTAGGATTTTTATAGGAGCCAGGAAAGGCGATACAATCTGCTGTGCCCTTGCCAGGATTCGAACACTGGCATTTCCGAATGTTAGTCAGACATAACTGGAAAATGACAATCCGAAAGTACTAAATAAGGAAGGAGTAAGTACCTTATATTCTTCCATCTTAAAGAGCAACTCGAGAGAAGAGGACCCAATCGCCAAGTGCTGGGGGTTACCAATTATCGTCCACTACCTTTTAGTTTGGGCACCACTGCAGAGTCACTTAGAGTTTTGGAGCAGGAATGGTGAAAAATTAGTAGTGCTTTCCCCAAGATTCAAACTTCGAAATTTTCGAATACTAACCGACGTGCTTTCCAGTCACACGGAGAAGGTGTGCGATAAGGTGTAAGAAAGCTTACATTCTCCTCCATTTAATAGGTGATCAAGGACCCCCAAACCCAACCCCCAAATTCTAGCTGTGACAAATTATTATCTTACACGTTTTAGTTCAAACGTTACTGTAGAGTAATTAAGAATATTTGGAACAGTTGGAGCAGAAAATGTGAGAAATTAGCGATGCACTCGCCGGCATTCGAATACCGAAACTTTCGACTGCTAGCTGGACATGATTTTCATTTGCATTATGCAGGCATTATGAAGGAGGGAGAAAATATCTTACATATCATCTGGCAGAAAATCGTCCTAGTAGAAAATGAAAAAATAGCAAAAGGCATCAAAGATACAATTTGTCCCCTTATTTCACAAGGAATACAGCTTTTCATTTCTTAGAATCAATACAGAAATATTTGTTATCTCTGTGTGCCAGTCATTAAGTTTTCGGGATAAAATGTTATCAGCTAATAATCATACTGTGACCAAATGGTATCATAACGTAACATGTCGTCCCCATCCCATTTTGTCTAACACTGTGGGACTTAAAAGACTTTTGGATTTCTTATAAGACACTATGGAGAATCCCCTAATTAGGCATGGGATATGTAATGCCCCAGAGGCATGCTATCTCAAAAGGGGCAGCTTTTGTTCTGCCCGAAGCCTGGCTGACTCAACCCCTTCCAGAGAAGGGCAAATGACCTGATGAGACAAGTAATATTAAGAGTACGGAAAGCAATATTAGTTGATATTGTTACGAAATGCCCAGCCGCGGTAAGATAGCTTCCTCGCAAGGAGGGTTTAGGCTTGCCAAAAAATTTCAAAGATAGGCAGGGTTGCCGTATTTGCCCCAATATCGCCCATTTGGCGACAAAATTGGATGGAGAATGGACGGAGAACATTCTGGAACGAATTCTTACTGATTTGACCCATAATGTTCTCGAAGGCATGCAAAAAGCTATATAAACCCTGCCTGTATCTAGTGTTGAAGCGTCTCGTCAGTGCATCGTCGAGTGTCGAGTTGGGCGTCGACTATACCGCGAGTTGGTACATCGAGGGCCTACATCCTTGAGTCTATCGAGTTGATCTTCAGTCTAGTGTCGAGTTGGTCGTCGAGTGTGCCACGAGTTATTGCATCGCAAGAGTGTCTCGTAAGTATGTTGAGCTCCGAGAGCGTTCGACAGAGTCGGGTATTGCACTTAAGTGTTTTGCAGTGAAGCTGTCTTCACCGTTATAGCCTGATGGTTGTGTGCTGATTGTTACAGCGTGTTTGTCGTAGTTGTTCTACGACTGCAAACGTGTGTTTAGGGCTGCCCTGAGTAATACTGGCTAATAAATTGTGTTTTCATTATTCATCAAGTGTTGTCGTTAATCACTCCAAATTAACGAACCCGTACAGAAACGCAACAGTATGGAATGTATGACTTATTTTAGCAGGAATGTTTATAGTAGTTGAACAGCATTGCTTTCTTCAGATGCCATTAAATGAGTTCATTTGGCTGTAATTGAAGAAAGTGGTACTGTTCGATCACCTTTTTCAGTGAAATATATTATTTCACTTATTCATATTCAGATTTTTCATTCAATTGCAGCTGTAGAAGGTATAGCATTCAGTCTGTGAAACAGCGTCTGCTTAAACCAGTTCTAAGTCAATTCACACTGTTTTACTTGTACTCATATTTTCTTATATTAGCTTTAACGTGGCATTCTCCAAATCCTTCCTTTAAGCCCTAAAACATTTCTTAAGTCTAATCCTGAAGTTTTGGATAGTTTTCGTTGTCTTAGGAGATAGTCTGTTATTTTTCTTAAAGGTCCTTATGTTCTTCTGTGACATGTGATTTTATTTTGAAAGATTCCGGTTTCAGTTGTTCACAAAGAAGAACTCATAAACAATGATATCTGGAAAGTGCTGGCCATGTCGTTTTAACGTGCAACAAAATCAGGTTAATAAGAGGAATGGGTAATATAGTAACGTATTTATGCAGTATGTTGCTACGAAAACAAACAGGAAAATATGCCATGTGTCACACAAAAGCACACTTTCATCTTCTATATCTTCATATCATACAATTTAATATTGTAATATATACGTATATCCTACTAATAAAAGCATATAGTTTGTGTGTCTCTTTTCTTTGCTAATTCCATTGTATATTATGAAAGTTTTTCAAATGATTCGTAAAAATTATAAATTTTATTAAGATTAAACCCAGACGTGTGTTAATTGGGCATGCATTAACCATTGTAACAGCTTTAAATAATATTAAAGTCTTGTAGTTTAAATAATTTAAATAGATGAACATTAAGGTATTTGTGAATGGCAATATTTGAAACCAGACTCGAGTGCCTCGTGCGACTCTCGCACGAAGAATGTAATTTATTTTTAAATGTTAAAATATGTTTTCTCTTCTTGTTTGTATGTCGCCATTTTTTTAGTGTTAAATAAAAGTTATTGCTGTGTTCCATCATTGGAGTTGCTTCATATCGCCAAAGAAGTATTACACCATGTGCTTGCTGCATTCTTTTAACTCGATCCCTTACCAAATCTCTTATGATACTTTCAGGTGGGTTCCTTCTTCATGATTAATCTTTGCCTTGTTGTGATCGCGACACAGTTTTCGGAAACAAAGAAACGTGAAATGGAACGCATGCGCATCGAGCGTGCTCGGTACCAGTCTTCTAGCACCCTCGCCAGCACAAACGCATCAGAGCCTTCTGGCTGCTACTCTCAGCTGTTCAAATATATCGCCCACCTGGGACGTAGAGCAAGGAGGAAATTCCTGCGCTTCTGCCGGAAGAGGAAAAGGGCTTCCAAAACTCTTGAGGAGCTTCCTTGCTCCATCTCATTGAGAAGACGCCCAAGAAGCGATCGCCCCAAATGGCAACCAGGCCAGAGTTCTATGAAAAACAATGGCTCAAAATACACCTCAGATTCGACTACAGGTGGATTTAGTTCCTTGGAAGGAAAGCCAAACAGTCCCGTGGCCCCCTTTGCGAGCCCTGAGATATCTGATATCGACTTGGTGGCATCACCCAGAGAAACGCAAAATGACGGGCATCAAATTGTGTGTCCATCCGTAGAAGTCACGCCTAGCGGTGTAACAGGTAAACTGTTTAATTTCAATAAAATTCTATAAACTTACTAATAAGTTTCAAGCAGCTGTATAAACATGTCATACGCTGCATAGTCTTAGAAAGATTGAAGGCTAAAAAGTAAGAATGTTTCTTCCTTAATTCTTTATTCTGTTCAAACGTAGTCTTAAAACTTTGTATGCGTATGGTATATCTCTAGTAGTATAGAGAATAATATTTCAATACTTTTGAGAGTGAAAAATATGGGTTTGTTGCATCATGAAGCATAAAATGTTCCTTAATTGCAGATCCTGCCGTAAAAGAAGTGGTTCGATCTCAGCCAAGCAAGCAATCGACAACCGGCAGCAAGACATCTCAATATACATGTGCCGAATTGCTTGCTATTGGTGCCACCCAAGGAGCCGTCTTAGCTGGGTTCGGAAACAACTTTGCCATGCAAAATTTCTACTCCGGTCTCAACAGAGGTGAGTGAGAATGTCGTGTATTCCAGTTGCTTTGTGAAAAACCAAACTGCATGACACCGTAGCTTTTTTTCATTATACGAGGTCATTGATGAAGTTCTGGTTTTAAATCAATATATTGTGTTTAATTTTAAATTAATATTCTTATTTTTTTGCACCAAAATAATTGCAAAGTTTGCAAGTGTTGACAGTTAGGACGGGTGTACTAACTTTAATTATGTGCAGGAGCTTTGCTAAATTTAATTGTTGCATCCAAATTTATCCAAAACGTCCGTAGGGAAGCATAAACTGTAACACAAAAAGCACCACTGTTTCGTGTTTTACAGTATGGAAATTTTTAATTCGTTATAAATACTTCGAACAGTTTTGGGCTAACCTATGAGACATAACCACCTTTTGCCAATTGCATCATTTGCTGGCTTCCCTGCAGTCACATCATATATGAAAAAAAGTACAATTCTACTTGACAACTGCGGGATAATCAAGGAATTCATAGTGAATTTTACTGAATATGTGGTACAAATGGTTGAACTTTCATGTTTACTTCGCAGTACAAACTGTAAAGCTGATTCGAATACTTTTCCTAATAAAACTGTTAAAATCATGTCCATTTTTTATGACTCTGTAATATGTGGCAAAATTTAATAAAGAATTTATTTGTTTTATTTAAACGTAATATTAAATTGTTATCCATTCTAATTTAATGTTAGCTCAAAACGACTGATTTCATAGATGTAATATTAATTAATTGGGTTGGAAAGACAATTGTTCTCCAACTGAGTACGTTTTTCGTACAGTACTTAAAGCAAGTGATAATAACTTCATTTACAGTAAGTGATAATAATATGAAATATAAGGGAGACAATTATATGTATAGTAAAGCAGCATTTGCATGTCTTTTTAAGGAAATGCTAAAAAAAAAGCACAGATAACAAAGAACGTCATGTATAATGGAAATTTAAGAATGTGATACCTATTTTTGTACCTGAATTCTAATGCTGTTATATTAACCTATTTTTGTACCTGAATTCTAATGCTGTTATATTAATTAATGTACCTGAATTCTAATGCTGTTATAATACTAATATTATCCCACTGCTATTGCACAAATATGGCGCTGTTAATCTGCTCTCCGGGGAATTTTGTACATTTACTAGACGGACTTCTACAATTGTCTTGGCTACTCACTCCGGTTCCATACCCATTTATTGCTGAACGCTGTGCTTCTTTCCTTCTAGTCTATGGGCCTTTACTGTTTTCCTGACTATGTTCTCTGTGACGTCATTATCGCTTTAAAAGGTAGCCTGAGTCTTCTTTACTGTTTGGTCCATAGTAGGAAGAATGGTAAAATCGCTAAACCATAGTCCGAACCTCGTGAACGGGCTGACTTCTTGGGCGTTTCGTGGTTATCCTCGTGTGTAACGTGTATACAAGCCAGTTTCCCTTTAGAACGTTCTCTATGAAGTCACCTCTCCCTTTACACAAATAACCGTCGAGTTCTTTGCCATAAACAAAATACAGTAAGACCCCGCTTAACGCTGTTTCGTTTAGCGCTGTTTCGGTTTAGCGCTCTTTTATTTCAACCCGGAGATTCTCCGAAATTGTGCGCAGCGCTAGGTTTCCAGATAACATATCCGAAACAGTGTAGTTGTGTTTCTTGCTTGGTGGACGCATTTTTATCATTTGAAACATTTGTTGACATTATTGTAAGTTTAAATTTGTATTAATACTATAACGATTAATACAGTGACAAATATTATGATCTTTAGTTTTTATCATGGGTGATAATAAAAAACAAGAAAAGAAAGCAACCAGAAAAAGCATTTCACTGGAAACTCAAATGCAAGTGATTAGAAGATTAGATTCTGGTGAACGTCAATCTCAAATTAGCGCTGCATTGATTTTGGAAACTTCAACAATAAGGACAATTCTTAAGAATAAATAAAAAATACTGTCATCGGCAACTGCAACTACGTCAAGCTCTGCAACTAGAATTACCCGTTCTAGAAATAACATTATAGAGGAAATGGAAAAACGACTGTCTATATGGATTGACGACGAAATTGAACGCAATATGCCATTAAGCCAATCTATCATAATGCCTTCTTGACAAAAAGGCAGAAAATTGGAAACCCAGAATAGACTGAATAATCTGACTGAGAATTTTATTTGTTTTTAAAAGTATGTGCGTTTATATTGTTTTTATTTTTGTAAGAAATAAATGTTGGATTTTATTTTTATTTAAAAAAATTATTAAATTTAATGCCTAACCATTTTTTATCCGTCTTCCCCTAACCCCATTATTTACATGTTAAGATAGCCTCGCTTAGCACTGTTTCGCATTACGCTCTACTTCGATGGAACGTATCCCCCGCGTTAAGCGGGGTCTTACTGTATCTGATGTTGATACCACATGACTTCCTTGTGCGAACTATTAAATTATACACTTTTTTTGCTAAATTTTATTTAAACTTACTTCATTTAAATTTTAATTCTCACTTTGAGGCAAGGTAAAAATGCATAAAAACTGAAAGCATCATCATTAAGGGGGCTCATACATTTTAAACCCCTTATGATCTTCGAATATGTGACTGTTGCAAGAATTAGGATATTTTATTTATTTTAAAAGCAATTATTTCTAACTTTTTACAGCTGACTACATGGTATACCTGCTTTGGAAACTAGTAACCAGAAAGTTTGTGTTGCCACAAATATTTTTGTAATTTAATCCGATTTGTGACAAAATGTTTCGTCACGTTTGCATCTTGCGTGCATGATATTTTAAAAATGACTAATGGTACATACTTGGAATTTGATGAAATTCTTTATATGGACACTATTTTCTAACTAAACCAAAAATCTGATGAATATTTTAAAATTAAAAAATTTTATGCTAGAAAACATTACAGATTTTTTTAATAAAATACGAGTACATTTTATAAACTCAACTCCAAATAAAATAAAAATTTAACATAAAATTCTTAGAAATTTTGGTTCACAGCAGTTTCCAAATGTTATAAAAGCTCTATATTAAATATGGAATTTAATTATGCAATAGACTGTTTTAAACTGTGCGCGCAAGGTGGAAACATGACGCAAAATTTTGTCACAAATCGAATTAAATTATAAAATTATTTGTGGCAACACAAACTTTCTGATTATTGTTTCAGAAAGCAGCTATATTATGTAGTCAGCTGTAAAACGGTTGGAAGGAATTGCTTTTAAAATAAATAAAATATCTCCAACTTCTTGCAACAGTCACATAATTCGAAAAATCATTACGGGGATTTAAGGTGTACGAGTCCCCTTAAATTTGAAAAATACAGAAAAATTTAAAACAGCAGTTACACTTAAAAGCAATATAAAAAATAATTTTTACAATTAAAATTAGAGACTTTACGCAAAAATAAACATTTCAGCCAGGAGGCAGGAAGACAGATTTTTTCGATGCTCAAAACTGTGTAGAGGACATTAAGTATTTTATTTTTGGAAGCAGGCAAGATGAAAAATGAGCAATCGCCTTCGCCGGGAATCGAACCACGGACCTCTGGATAATGGCCCAGCGTGCAGAATCACTGCACCACGAAGGCACGCTAGGATGGCAGGAGAAATACCGTATAACTGGAAGTTCACTTTTTGTCTCATTCGGCAAACCGATACTGAAGTTTGATGCACAAACTGACGTAATTCACTATTTTACTGACAGTTTCAAGTGTAAACAAACGGTGGCCTCGTTAGGCTTAGCACCACTTTTAAATAGTTAATTCTACAACTGTCGCTTGCAGATTAACTAAAGGTATAAAAACCTTAACTGGAACATAAGAACAATGTAATCAATCACTTTTAAAGTAAAATATGCATAATTTACTAACATATAAGAATAAAAAATTGAGCTCACCGAAACGGGTAGCAGTTGCGCAACCTCCTGTTATAGCAGCCTCATATTATTATACAATTTCAACGTTCTTGAGGCTACTCGTTTTTGAGTTGTGCAAGATATACACATGCGTATTCATGCACGTACAGACGTCATGAAGATGTCTCTTCTGAATCCATTTTAAATCCAATTTACAATCCGTTTCATAAAAAAGAATCTTTTATTCTATCTGTGCGTAGAGATGTTACGCAAAACCATCGTTCAAATGAATTGGAGAGCGGTCAGTCGTTGAAATATGATACACGAAATTGTTCGCAATTACGATACTTCCTCTGCTTCGTACAAGGAAGTAATACACCAAACCAAGCCAATCTACCCTAGGCCGTTTTTACCACATGTTTCCTGCCTAATGACCTCTCGCCGTCAGCAAGAATTGGTGTACTCGCTGTTTGATCTTTCGTCTCCCTGCGTTAATTAATGTGTTGCCACTGCTCGCTTTGAAATCTTTGAATTTCTTAATCAAAAATTTATTAAAATTCTGAAAAATACGAAATGATACAAATATGATAATAAAACAAATTCAAAAGGCTCGGGCTTCCCGATGCCCATTACTCGGGTGGAGAATTATGTTATTTAAAATTTGTTGGCTCTTGTGTTTTTCACACTGCAGGACACATATACACTGAAGTGACAAAAGTCATGGGATGCCTCCTAATATTTTGTCGGTCCTCCTTTTGCCCGGCGAAAAGCAGCAACTCGACGTGGCATGGACTCAACAAGTCGTTGGAAGTCCCCTGCAGGAATATTGAGCCATGCTGCCTCTATAGACGTCCATAATTGTGAAAGTGTTGACGATGCAGGGTTTTGGGCACGAACTGACCTCTCGATGATGTCCCATAAATTTTCGATGGGATCATGTCGGGCGATCTAGGTGGCCAGTTCATTTCCTGGAATTGTCCAGAATGCTCTTCTAACCAATCGCGAACAATTGTGGCTCGGTGACATGGCACATTGTCATCCATAAAAATTCCATCGTTGTTTGAGTACGTGAAGGTCATGAATGGCTGTAGTGATCTCCAAGTAGCTGAAAGTATCCATTTCCAGTCAATGATCGGTTCAGTTGCAC